ATATGACTAGAAGCAAACTTTCGGTGTCATATCATGCAGCTAGCTCGGCTCTTTATGTGAATCATTTCTTCTCCCTGACCGAATCCAACATGCCATTCAGCAATTTTCAAAGTGTTCAAAATGATTTATTAAATTAGAGCCACTCATGACCCATGTGTGTGTCCACTTTATAAAACCCTTTTTTAGTGGATGAGGTTTGTCGTTGCCTAAGTAGGGTCCTAACTCGATTTCATCAATTATAGAAATGGTTCAAACATCAGGCAATTAGGATGACCTCAACTTTGGGAGTTCATCCCAAAATTGAAAACCCACAATATGATGGCCAAATAGAAAACAGAGAATTTCTCACTAAAGGAAATAAACGATAGGATTATACGAACTCATTTGACATATTCATTAATTAGAGTGTTTTCTTCTCCCTTTATTTATTTTCCTTGGTTTTCCTCGTTTAACATTTTGGTACAATAATTGGTTGGCCTAAATAATAAATCATTGGCCCCTTTTCAAAGTTCAAGAAACATAAAATTAAAAAAAAAAAAAAAGGAGGAGGAGGAGGAATGGTATGGCTAATTCTTCTCTCGTTAGGCTTGGATAATATTGAGGATGTATATAGATATAATTGTGTGAAATTTATGTAAATTTTCTTTTCTGTTTGTACGAATAACAAATAATTTGATTTTTTTAAGTAAGGTTTCGGGTTGATTTTGATATCTAAATATCGAATGTTTTTAACAAATAAAAAACATAATAATAAAAATAAAAATGAAAATAAAGACATGCTCTTCAAAAATCAAAATAACTGTTATGCTTCAGTGAAAAGTATATTTGTGTGAATATTTTTTGGACACTATTTAGCTGTTCCTAATGTGAATTTTTTTTAATTTTAATTTCTAATGTGTTCATGAGAGTGAAATATAATAAGATTTAAACAAATAATAGTTTTTTTAATTAAGTACATGTCTACGACGATAAATACTTAATTTTTTTTGGTAGACATAAATAGTTAATTTTAAAATGTAAATGTATGTGTTTTAGTTTGTCTTTTTTTTTTAGTGTATTTTTATCTTTATTATTCGTAAGAGTCTTAGCATTTGTATTTTTATCCTGAATATATGTTTATAGTAATTTTGTGTCTTGTGTCTTAAATGCTTAATTCTTCGTCATTTGTAATTTTTATTTTTGTGTGCTATTCATGCTACCTGGTTAATCAAATTAAATTTTATATTTTTGTTGTATTACATATGTAAGCGACGGAAAAACAGTTCAAAGCTGTTATTTTTTTGGGTGTCTTAATTTTTATTTTTTATAATTTTTAACCACAAAAAAAAAACTGTTATTTTTTTAATCGTTTTATCGTAAACTTAATTACTTCATTTTTAGTACTCTGAGGCTTATATAAATATGACTCTTCTACACCATTTTTTCCATCTTATAATAATAAATGTTAAAATAATAATATCAATTTAATGTTAATTTTCTTAATTTATCAAAATAAATATTTATATATAAAAATTATTTGTTAGATAAATTAAAAAATCAAATGAAAAATCTATTATCAAATTATTATTATTAGCTATAAATTTAATTTTTTATAATATATAGGACTTTCACATATTTATGAAATAAGTGTGAATTATTTATATTATTAATTAATATTTAATTGAATTGATTTAATATTAATTTTTAATTCAATTATTAAAAATATTATTAAATTAAAGTGAGACGATAGGAGTGACATAAAAAATAAAATTTAAGACAAATAATTCTTTGAACCCGTTAAATCTTTTTATTGACTTATTTAATAAAATGATATGCTATAAAGAATTCTATAATAGCTACACTCCGTGTATGTACCAATAAATAGTAGTAACAGCTGATTTTATATTACATAAATAAAAATTTCATAATAACGTTCATCTCGTTAAAACAATAATAATTTTCATGTGTTATTAATATGCATCGGTTAACCAATAACAACTTTACTAGTAATGTTAAAATTTTAAAATTTAAGTTTCTGTGTTAAATTAAATATTTAACTATCACACGAAGTACCTTGGGAGCTCTTATTTTTAACTCATTCTTTCCTTATAAGTAGAAACTTAATCAAACATAATTTACAAAAGCTTTTATTTTAAAAATAATTTTTTTAATGAAAAAAAAACTAAAAGTTAAAAATTAAAATCTTTCTGAAAGAGTTTTTTTTTATTATTATGAATATCAATTTTTGGAGTTCTCACATTTATTTTTCAATTATACTTTTATTCATAAATTTTGTAATTTATCCTAATAAATTACCCTAATAAAAAATTATTTCATCCCTCTTACTTCAAAATTTTAAGAATAATTTTATACAACTATCAAACAGTTTCTAATTTTATTTTTTAGTTTTAGTTTTACCTTAAAATAAATTTTAGCTTAAAAAAAATGTGTCAAACAAGTTCAAAGTCGGAAAGTGCCTCTACCAAATAAATGTGCATTAGTTTGGTTAAAATATTTAAAATTTAATTACAAGAAAATAATGGTTCACTAAGGTAGCATCGTCGACGTTGTGAGCATCTGGTAATTTATCTTTTTGACTGCACAAAAGAAAATTGGAAAAAGTTTAAAAAGCTATTATGATTTTCTTTAGAATCACTTACTATTTTATGGTTATTTTCTTATCATTTATTTTTCTATGATTTTTCCCATTCAATTCACCTTCTAATTCTGTTAAAATTCTTTCTTTAATTTTAATATTTTACCCTTGTCCACATATGAATTTTATATTATAATGTTATTTTTTTATCCCAACTCTAGTTGTTTTTTAAAATTTATACCAAACTATCCAAAAAACATTCATCCTAACAAATTTTAGAGAAAAATTACTACGAATGCTGCAAGTTATCAACTAATTTTGATATTTCAATAAGATAACATTCACAATGTTATTGCAAAAATAGTCTTTCTGGTTTTACTCAAAATACAAACTCTTCATACAAGAAATTAGTTTTCTCTTGGGTATATTCTACTATAAAGGACAACAATATTATTTAATATTGTTTTAACAAGAATTAATGCTTAATTTAGAACTGTTATTGTTTACCGAAAAAAAAAACCTTGTTTTTCTTTTACAAATTTATATATCTTTAATAAAACTGACTAGACTTAGCTTGATAAATGTACTAACATCTTGAATTTAATAAATAAAAATAAATATTATTTAAGTAATCAATTTATATGTAAATATATTTTTATTCTAGGTTAAAAAATTAAAATGGAAAAAATGTGAGCAAAGATAGGTAACAAAGCAAATAAAAAATATCGAAAAAAATATTAATATATTAAGAAGCAGATTGATCCATTAATATATTATTTCTATGAACAAATATACATGGGTGAGAAGTGGATTGACCACAAATAAAATTGAAAAATTAAAAAAAAATCAAATAAATAAAGAGCTGTTTGAGTTAAAATACAAAGAGTTTAATTTAAATTAAATTCTACATAGGGTTTGAACATAAAATATATTTTTCATTACTTGCCTTAGTGTTACAGTAAATTAAAACTATATAATTTACAAATTAACAACATATGATTTGTTGTGAAGTTGGATGAAGAAAAAATATTACACTAAAATTTTATCTCAATAAATTGAGAACGGTAAGTAGAGAAACACAACAATAGATAAGTATCATATTAGCTTACCAAAAAAAAAAAAAAAGATAACTATCATATTGATTCTTTTTATAGGGGTAAATTAGGTAGTTTAATTTAATTTTTATCAATGTTAGAAATGGACTGCATGAAAAAAATATAAGCAATAATTGATAAAAAAAATTTATAAAAGACTAAGTGATCCTAACAGAAATTATAGGGATGTTTTTGAATTGTTTCCAAGAAAATTTAAGTATCAAGGGTAATTTGGTCACGTAAAAGTGGAACTGGATTACGTGGCAGAGAGAAGGTTTGAGTAACGATATCAGCGGATTTAAAACAGTTCTGTTCTATATTATTTATCATTTTTATTATTGAATTAGATGTTTTTCATTTTAAATTACATAAATTATGTTATTTTAAAGGAGATAGATAAAAAAATAAAAAATAGTGAATGATTTTTTATAATTTAAATTTTAAATAAAAAAATATTATTTTATGTCTATCTATTTTAAAATAACATAATATTATATTATTTAAAATAATAAACACTTTTTCTTTTATTATTATTGTTATTATTATTATGGGCAGCCCACAGCTTTGTTAAACAGAAAGCCATTGGATCAGAATTCCGAGGGCTCAACGTCCTCCATTCAGGTTAACTAACCCAACCGCACACCCTCTCTAGTTAAAACGCCCCTGTTCCCCCCCAACCTCCTTATTCTATGCTCCAATTTCACTTTTGCTTTTCCATCCCTGTTCTTTTTATTTATGATGTCCGTTTCCTTTCTTTCTCTTTACGTCGTTTTCTTTCCATATTTTTTTTCTTTTGATGAAAGTCTTTTTCTTTTCATTTAAATATAAATTTCTTAATTATTAATTCACAAACAACGTATTCTTATTAAAACGCTACTGTACTGTCTGATTCCACCATTTTTGACTGATATATGATTATGACATTGAATTTGTATTACAAAAGGAAATTCCTAATTACTCTTCACATTGAATTTCTGAATTAATATACACACATCCCTCTCAAAACAAATTTACTTGTTTTAATTGCCGACATCTTTTAAAAGAAAACAAAAAAAAATTATTATTAGGTGAAAGATAGTCTTCCCTCTGGTCAAATCATTTTTACTTAGCAATGGAATGAAATTGTACTAACCTAACTTAATGTGTTATTGTGTACAAGACGTGTTAATGTGTCAAAAAGAGGCACACGCAAATAAAAAGAAGAATCTAGGGGCCACTTATACAATTCCAGGAAGTAGATGCCCCAAGCAGGAAATATCAAGAATCTTAGCCTACACTCATCCATTTGCCAGTGTTGTTCAAATTCCTATATATACATAGCTCGAGTGAAGCTAGGTTTGCCGAACTTGACAGCCGAACCCGGTTTCTAGGGAGAGGGTAAAAAAAAAAAAAAAAAAAAAATCCCTTTTCGTTCTTCCTTTTTTCTTTCTTTCTTTCTTTCTTTATTATCAAAGATTCTTCTTTCAAGAGAGAAAAATGGCGGCATCTCCTAGAAAATCAAGAATACTTCGATCCCTCTCGCCTTCCCCAAGATTCTGTAATTCTCACTGTCACTCTCCATCATCATCATCTTCTTCGTATTCTTCCTCAGCTTTCGCGTCTTCAACTTCAAGCTTCTCCTCTCGCTCCACAACCTTCTTTCACCGCTCTAAATCTCCCACACGTGTCAACCTATGCGGTCCGTCTGTCTCCTCGGTTCGGTTCTCCCTGGACCGCTCCGTCTCTCCGAACCGGACCATCTCTGTGGCCCCTCGCACGACGAGCGGTTCCGTTTCATCTTCCGTGAAGAGGCAGAGTGGCCAGCAGAAGCGAACGTGCATGTGTTCGCCCACCACGCATCCTGGTTCCTTCCGCTGTAGCCTCCACAAGGGATTCGGTTCTCACTCGGCGTCATCGGCGGCGCAGTACTCTCAGAACAGGCTCAACGCGCGTAGATCGGCGATGACGAACTCGCTGGTGAGAATTCGCGGCGTTGAGGGGGATCTGGTGAAGAGAGCTCTCTCGGCGTTGATTCGCCCTTCGTCGCATCAGCAGAGAAGGAGAGGGGACTTTCACCCTAGACCTAGCAGGCTCTCCGTTATGTCCAAGGCAGAGAACTCCTGAGGCACGCTACAATTGTTCGGTTTCTTCGCTGTTCCGTTCATTTTCCGACCACCATGGAGTGCGACGGCGGCGGCGCCAGATCTCGGCGAAATGGCTTAAGATCTAACGGCTGCGCGGGCGATTCGGAAATCCAAGCGAGAGGACTAATGATGTGCTTAGTCTGGGTGTATGTGTGTGCATATATATATAGAACATATATCAATCAGTGGCAGCCATTGATGGCCATTCTTGGAGCTTCTGGACCTAATTTCATGAAATACAATTTTGATTAAAATATATAACTAATTCTCACTTTAAATTCAAAATTAAACCCCAATCAAATTTTGTTGGATGTCAAATCTTTCTATTCGTCGTTCAATTTCTCAGTACAGTTGCACTTTATTTTATAATTTTTCTTTTTCACTTTCTTTTTTCGTCTATTTTTGAAATTTTACGTAACGTTACGTAACGTTTCATTTAGTTTTCTTAGTTTCTGTAGTGTCCGTTCTGCGTTCGTCGTCTCACTCGTCTGGGACTCTGGGTGTACATTTCGTGTATTTTTCCGTAATCGTTTGTATATTTATTTTTATTTTTGAATTTGTTTGTGTAGATACGTATTCCGCCCGTATTGTTTTTTTGTTTTTTGTTTTTATTTGTTATGATTCATTGAAATTATTATTTTATCTTTGGTGGTCTAATAATTATATTATTTTTAATTTTTGCAGGGAATATAATTGTGGTGGCGAGTGGTGAGCCAATATGGGACATGATAAGTTGGGGACCATGAGCATCAGGACGATAGAGATATCGAAAGCTTTATCCGATTCCCGTCTGCCAGAGACTTTAGAGATGAAATGATGAATGGCGGTGGCGTGAGACATGGGAATGACATGGAAAATGATGGACCCTTTTAAAGATAAATATCATAAATACATCACAAAATTGAAATTTGTGGGATGAGTAAAAGTAAAAGATTCTAAGAATCAAAATTAATCTCACAAGATAAAGGACAAAATTACATGGAATACTAGAAAAGTAAAAAACAGCCTTTTCTCTGTTTTGCTATTATTACTATGGGCTTTAAGTGTTTGCTGTCGCAGGAAACACTTTTATTTTGGGCCCATGCCGTTTTTTTGATAAAAAAAAAAACATAACACAAGTTTATGAGAACATAAGAAACTATTCTAGCACTGTTATTAAACTCGATCCGGACATAGACTCGATTGGGTTATTGGGTTATTGGGATACTGGTCGGATCAGTGGGTCACTGGTTAGACCGGTTGATCCGGAAATATATAGATATATAAAAATATATATAAATATAAACATATAAATTCAATTATATTCTCCATATCTAAAATGAATTAAACAAGGTTCATTAAATAAATTCAAAAACATAAAGCATAAATAAATAAATTGCAACTCAGAATCTCCATAAACATACTTCTCACTGACATTGAATTCATATTTTTCAAAATCAACTACAATAAAAATGACATATGTCACATTTTCTTAATTTTTTATTCTGCAAATTACTTCAATATTGGAAGCTGAAATTTGAGGTCATTGTAATACTAGCAAATAAAATTACAAAAAGTTTTAAAAATGAGTTCTACATTTGTTTTTTATAAGATGAAACAATTTTGATTTTTTAGTTTTTTTTTAAATGCATGACCCGACCCAGGTCACCAGATCACCAGTTTTGAACGGATTTTGATCGGATTTGACGAATCGATGCATGACCGGTCCAATACTTTACCAGTCCAATGACCGATTCATCGAATTCCAGGTCGATCCGACCGGGTCGGGCCGGGTTTTACAAATATGACCCCTACTATTCTCCCTATTACCATTGCCAATATAAGGTGCAATAATTGCATTTTCTTGTTCTAGATAATTATTATTGGTAAATTATTAAAAAATAAAATTAGAATAAAATTATACATAAATACGAAATTTATATTCTCTCTTCTTAATTTGTATTTATTTAAAAAATTTCCATTTGATTTGGTTATCCTTAAAGTGAGAACTTTTCGTATTAAAAATGGGAAAAGTATTTCTACGGAGATAACTTTATCTACACAGAGTTCAAAACGATATTATTTTGGGAGTATAAGATTAGAAAATTATAATGATAAAGGTTAATATAACCCTGCAATATCTTAAAATTACAAAAACACATTGATTTCCGTATCAAAATAACATTGTTTTGAGCTCATCGGAGATAACTTATCTCCATTTGACTGAAAAAATTCTTTATCCATTAAAAATTCAGTATTATATTTTTAAAACTGCTAATATATAAAGATTTTAACTAAAGTAAATACAAATAAGTTATTTATATTCACTCTCAAAACGATATCATTTTGCATTAAAAAATTAAAAAATTATAAAAATAAATAAATTATAAATATAAAAATATCTTAATTTTTGTCCTAAAACAAATAATGGCCTTGAGGGAGATTGTGGAAAAAGTCACCGGTCTTATTTTACCTTCGGAAGATTGTGGAAAAAACGAGAAAATTCGAAGCATGATAGGGGTAGGGAAAAATGGCCCTTGAGGGACGCAAGGGTCTCTTAAGTCTATAAGTCAATCAGTTAATAAATTGAAAAAGGAGTCAATGATGCCACTTTCCTACTTTGTGACATACATATTGGCATATTGCTATGCAAGCCAGCAACACCAATGAAAACCAAAACGCCTTCCGTCCTACTACGCGTGTAATGCTTAACGCGCGCTCGTAGCTCCAAAGAAAATTCCACAATCCCTTTCAATAAGGAGATTTGAACTTGTTTGATATATACCATAGAATAAGGTTTGATATATAAGATTTAATAATATAAAATCTAATTGTATAAGATCTGATTGAATTTTAATACTATTTAGTGTTTAGTACGGTATTATATAAAATAATATATTATATAATATAATATCATCTAGTATTTGGTAATGTACTGCATAATACTATATATAATAAAAATAAATATTTTTAATAAAAATATTCTTTAATAAAAAATTTATACAATTCTTCAAAAAATATCATATGATATTAATTTTTACAAAATTTATTGATCAGTGTGTCCAAAATATAAATCAATTTTTATAAAAATAAAGATATTCAATATTTTAAAAATTAATATATTGGAAAATTAATTTTTATTTTAATAGATTAATATTAAAATAATATATTAATTTTTGAGAATTACATTGGTCAACGATGTTAATACATCAATCTCTTATCAGACTTTATCCCTCACCCTTAGGCCAGATTAAGTTATATATCGTTTTGATGTATTAAAGAATTATGTTGTATAAGCTTATACTATACGATGGTCACACCAAACAATTAAAAATATCATAACGTATAGTATAAGCTTATACTATGATGCCTTATACGTCACACCAAATAAGCGTGGATTATAACTTATAACCTCTTACAATGAAATCAACTCTAATTATTAACTAAAGTGTTTTTAATTTTATATTTTATTATACGTATTTAATTTATGCAATTAAAACGGTGATCTGTCACCTATTACCCCAATACCCACCACCACCCACCGTAGTTTTAAGAAAACGGGTACAAAATTAAGACATATTCAGTGAGAGAAGAAGTGGAGGGGCCCATTAACGATTCATGGCACTGCACTGGGCCTGCGCGTGGGAACTGCAAAGTCTTCACTTAAATTTTGCAGCTGTAAGAATGAGCTTCTTGCGAACAAAGATAGAGGATAAGCAGATAAGGTTGATGTGCTCTCGAATGCGACATGCCTTTATGGGTGCTTTATCAATTTTATTTTTGTTGCCACTTGTCATTCAATTTGAACATTGAGTATGTACAGTCTACATGTCATCATGCTATTCTTTATTGCTTCCACTAGTCACCATTTTGAATTAGTTCTACTCAATCTCGAACATCAATTATAATGAAGATATCACGCCTTAAAAATTAGGTACAATTAAGAGTAATCAGAGATGAAATATCCAGATATATTTATTTACAGCATAGTCAATTATGTTTAGAGGGAAAAAAAGTAAGCTTTAAAAATAAGTAGATAATTTACAAAAATATAATACATTTTTTTTACTTTTAAATCATTTTTATGAAAATATATTTAGTTATTTTATTTTTTTGGTAAGCAATATATTTAGTTATTTATTATTTATTAATTAACGTTGGACTTGTTGGGCGAAAACTAAAAGGACAAGCTTGAAGTAGTGATGAAACACTCCACTTTGTTTTGTCACGGGGAAGAATCCAGAAACTGTTCAAGATTGATAAAATTGATGTTTCAGTTTCGGTACATTCCCCCAAATTAAATCCCTTTGAGCAATATCTGATGTCAGAAGCAGAGTGGGTAAGGTTGCCTTCTTATATAGACTAGAGTAATTAATTTGTTTACATAATAAGTAGTTGAAAGGTCCATCTCTAGTCTCAGATAAAAGAGTAGAGAGTCTAACGTCTAACCCAAGAACTACTACTTAGCAGAGTAGTAAAGAAACAGAGAGAAAAATATATTGTTCGAATTCTCTCGTGTAGAAAAAGATTATGTTACTTGATCACAATTAATGATGATATAAAAAAAAGAAAAATATATAATTTTTAAATAAATAATTATAATTAAATAATATGATCACATAATTATTTTTTCAAGCAAATCCATTGTCTATGCTTTGAGTGGAAGGCTTAAATTCAATTTTCATTCCACCTGAAGTGGATTCCTGTGTGTCATAAAATTTGAAAATTGAACCCATAAACGGATAAATTTTGGGTTGGGTGGGTCCACCTGCTTAGGTGGGTCCTAGTGTATCATTATGTGACATACCATGTTTCTGCCTTCTTATCCGGTCTGTCTCTCCTCAGAATTAGATAGATATATGGATAAGAGAAATGATTTTTTTCATCCAACCAGGAACTGCTCACATATAATATGGAAAAAATGAAAATAAAGTAACTGAATGCTCCAGTGCATTAAGTTCTCTCGCGAGAACGTAATGCACAAAATATTATAATGGTGTTTTCTCGAGAGAACATAGTTATAATATTTACTATAACTGTGTTCTTGCGGAAGAACTTAGTGCACTGGATCAAATTTTACATCAAGTCACTTTATACTCAGTAAACACATAATATATTATTTCGGAGTTGGAAGTAAATAAAGGAAGCCATCCTTTTGTTCATTTGCGGAGGAACTGACTTTGGGGTCCAAAGTTTTGTGGCTGTGGATGTAATGTCCCATATCGGTTAGAGAGGGGAACGAAACATGTCTTATATAAGGGTGTGGATACTTTTCCTTGTAGGAGGTCTTTTGGGATAACTCAAAACGTAAAACCGTGAGCTCGACGGTACTTGTGCGCGGGGCAAAACAGACAATATCCTGCTACAGGGTTTGGGGCTGTTACATTTGGTATCAGAACCAGTGAGGGAGGATGTATCGGTTAGCTGCTACAGGGGTTTGGGCTGTTACAGTGGATATGATAAGATGCATCCTTTGACCCAGAAGGCACTTCTACGTTATGATGTATCTAAAAAAAAAAACTCTGTAATTAAGTCAAGGTGAATGATGTGCTACAGACAACAAGCAAATCACAAATTGGTGTAGCAAAAATGATTTCATCAAAACCAGCGACTCGGGCTACTCTCATAAAATCGGTGTAATCAAGTCGTGGTAAATGATTTGTCGCAGACAACAAGCGAAGCACACAAATTTATAAATTTTTTGATTAGTCTATTTATAAAGATGATGTTTATTAATTTTCAAAACGATGCGAGACTTCTAAATATGAGGAGAATCAGAAGCAGAAGCAGACAAAGACGTTCGTTAGTACCCTCGACCTTTTCTCTCGCGATCTCCCTCTCCCACCACACTTGCTCATCTTTGTCTCTTCCATCAAAATCACAATTGTGTCCATTAAAGGTATCTCTACCAATTTGAATGAAACTATTAACTCTTTCAGGGCGTGAAGATTTTTATCACTTGTTCCAACTTATTTCACCTAAAAATTTAACAAATTACTTTTTAATCCTAACAGTTCACTTATTGGACACAATTCGTTTACCAAGATTGGAGTTTTAAATTTTGTAAACAACCTTGGGATACACCACCCCAAAAGCTAGCTCAAAGGGTGGGAGTGTCCAAGGCCTTATAAAGATCATATTAGTTGCCCATC